TGATAAATACAGAATAACTGCAGCTTTAGGACAGCAATAGAGTGATTTCTTTGAAATGCCAGAATAAAGTTATAATATTCCGTATCACACAGTACCATGTCACATGTATGTGTATGTTTGTGTTTGTAAGGGGGGAAAGAGAGAAAGTGAAGCCTGTCACAGTGCCTCACAGCCGCCTCACCATCACCCAGGAGTCTCTGCTGCGACCGTCCTTTTTAGAACTCAAGATCCTTCCAGAAATTGCACCTGATCTCAGTGTTAAATAATGCATCAACATTTTTTTTTGTAATGTAAAAAAGCTGGCTTTTAGCAGCGTTAGTGGGACAGTAATGCCACCTGACAATCACTCCCAGAAGTCTTGACTGTGGCCTGCAGGAAAAGAGTCAGGCTCCTCGTGATTGACAAGGACAAAAAGAGTAGTCCCACTTCTGTTTTTGAATTGTCAACCACAGCCATGGGATTTGAGAGTGGAGGATGAAACCGTGACTTTGACTACAAGAAGCAAAGGACTTAAAGCATGACAAGTGTGATTACAATATCCGTGGAAAGTCATTTAGGGCGCCAAGGTAAGAGACAGCCTCAACAAGACATTCAATTATTTATAACACTGGGGAGAGTGGGCACTTTCAAGGCCAAACAGCTTACAAGGTGTATTCTCAGATACTTTAGCAACACCAGCTTCACTATTTACACATGCGGTTACAATAAAACAATTTTATATAAATAGTTTGACACCCCAGCTATTTGAAGTTGGCCCGTCATGACACTGATGGATGATGTAGCTTCTGTCGTAGAGGTAAGTAATCAATGAAGATGAAGGTGCGATGCAGGCCTGATAGGAAACCTGTGAACTCCAATCAATAGCAGAAGATGCATTTTAGTTTAACACGGTGTATTAGCTTTGAAATCCAGAACATTTTCAATATGTGGGTTTAATTTGATAGCTGCTGGGGAGATGAACCCTGCTGCTTCCATTCTTAGCTCTATGATTAAGTCCCATGATTATTATGCCTCACTTAACTAGTCAGAAAAAAAACAATCAGCAGCAGCTTGAGTGGAAGGTTCAGTATGAAAATGGAGGATGGGTACTGGATTCATAGCAATAAATAACTTAAATGTCGTTATTATGAAATAGCATTGTGAAATCATACATTCAGGCATGCGTATTTATGCGTTCCAAATAATCTGAAGAAGCGTAAGAACACTTAAGAAGAAACCGGAAGTGTGAGTCCCAATCAGGAGGAAAGTCCTGGAGAAACACAAACTGCTTTTCATGGTTGATCTCTGTTCAGGCTCGCAGGGGTGCTGGAGCCGATCCCAGCTGACACTGGCCAGGCTATATAGACAGAAAACTCTTAATTGCTCATACGTGGATGAATGGTTATCAATTAACCTAATTAACCATATCGTTGGGCTGTGGAGAGAACCCATTCTGACACAGGCAGAACATGCAAACTCCACACAGAAGGCCCATCTAGCCCGGGACCTCCTGCTGTAAGGCGACAGGGCCAGCCTACACATCACCGTGCATACCCTTTTGATCGTTCAATCTACCTTTTTGTTCATGGTTCCAACAAATGTACCGCAACGACTTTGGTGACCAAGTACCTGCAGAATTATTCACATTGCCATGCCCTGACCTCTTTCCTGTGTGGATTTCCTCTCCCTATAACAACATCACCCGACTTCATTCTTTGCTCCCGTCATAATACCTACGGCTGCTCGAGCAAAAAAGATATTTTTTCATTTAGGGGCACTTGCTGAAACGACTGATGCTGTTGTGTGTCTCTGGAGGACAGGCTCCATTATGATAGATTCATTAAGGCCCTGTATACTCACTCAAGTGCTTCCAGTTATTTTGGCTGTTTAGACTAACTCAGGTTGGAGCTGTGCAAAGCCATGCTGGGAAATGGTTTATGTCACCAAACTCTATGTGTTGTAATCTGTTTTTCAACAATACTAGAGAGGCCTCCTGAAGCCCTGAAAGTGTGCCCTTAAAAGATCAGATATCGGATACAAATAATGTCATCTACATTATAAAACACTCTGAAAGATCTCTGCTTAATGAATGCTTTTACTGAGGTACAATTGTGAATGCAGGACTTCAAAGATATTATTTTCACATTGCGGTATTGGTACTTTTACTTAAAGGTCCAACGAGTAGGATTTTGCAATTCACTGCAAAGAAGTGGCAGCTCTTCCAAAGAAAACTATAAATTTGTTCCTTCGTACACGCACCTCAGCAACATTTTTTTTTCTTCTATTTGATCCACTTTAGTTTCTGTGCTGTGAAACCGAACCAGACTAAAATGAAAAGAACCCAAAAGTATCACTTTTACTCTGATTGAGACTAGCCACTATGCTACTAAAGAGATGTTAATGCCGATGAAAAAAGATTTAAACAAAACAGTTACCGTATACATGTTCTGTTATGAATGTCAAATTGGTCATCCCAGACCAATTTCCCAGCTTGAATTATTATCCCAGTCCGGCCTTGGACATCCGAGTTCTTGCACGCATGCACACATGAACACACATGCATTCATTCAGGCCCACTGTAGCTCAGTGGGCGGCAAATGCAGTGGGAGCAGATGTGAAAAGTATCACTGGTGTAGTCACACACTTTTACGGTGAGCAACATCGTGGACAGACATCCATACCAGATGCCGTGTGTGCCCTGGGCTCAGAGGCATCACGGCGAGGGGGAAAAGCCAGTGCGGGGAAATAAGCACCTGTCATGTGCCAACTGAAGTGTTAAGTGCACAAATTGTGGAGGCGAGGGTGATGTTTCCGCAGGGGTGACAGCTCTGGGTCTGGGTGCCATGTCAGGCCCTGGCATATCATGCAGAGACCCCCCCCACTCCCCTCCAGCCCACCCCCGGTCCTGCGCTTGCCGAGGGGCACAATGGCAACTATTATTTACTGGATGTCTGCCTCATTTCCTCATATTCATCCTGGCTGGCCATCGCAGGGCCCCAGGGGGTGTGTTGCCCCCCCCTTGTGTCATTGCTGAGGGGCGGCAGTGGCAAAACAATCTCTGGCAAGCATTTAGATCATTTATTCAGAGCGCAGGGTGTCAGCCGCAAACCAAATTGCCTACATTTGTGCGCCGGGATCCTATCCTTGCGCCTCTCCCTTCAGGTTGGACACGAACGCGAGCCGTGGAAGGTGTATCGGGCCGGGTGTCAGAGAGCCTCTTCACAAACTAACACTAATGCCACGCGAAGGTCTTTCTGTGAACAGTGTGAAAGTGCGAAATGTATGATAAATTGAGCGTGCCAGGGGGGGCTTTATGGCTGTGAAGTGCTGTGGCTGGTCGCAGGCATTGTTATGACTATAGCTATTTAGGATCATGGGAGTTGACAGTGCACTACTGGCAGCCATAGAGAGCCAGATTTATCAGGGTTTTTGTGCACCAATGAACAGCAGTCACAGCGCGAGGGAAGAACACAAAGTTTCAGAACATTTCTGAATTTAACAGAACTTCAAGGACATGATAAACACCAGTGGCCCGGGCTAATGCTATTATCTTAAAAGCCTCATCCAACAAGATGACAGCACCTCAGAAATACCTTTCTTTTCATCTGACCACCTGTTGTCAAGGTGTTAGCAGCTGAGAGGTGAACAAAAGAATAACTGGATGTATTCAGAGAAGAATCACAGGAGAGACAGATAGAAGGCAGGTAATCGTTTTGGACTAATGGTTTCCTGATGTTGAAATAGCGGAACATGACACTGACACAGCAGTCCACCAACATCTGCAGCAGACATATGAGACCCATGTGAGCTGGTGCAGGACAAGCAGTCTTGGATTTGTCCTTGCCTCTGCTGCCCCCCACAGTACACACTCCACCCGGGCTCACAGCAGCCACAGTGATCAGGCCTCTTTACTATATAGACATATGAGGTTCCATTTTCTCGACTGAATAATTATTAGAACACATGACATAGACTTGGATTAGTATTTAGTGCTTCTTCATACATATCGCTCAAATTACACGTTGCTAGCACAGCATTAATCATTCCAGTCATATTTCTTCTGACTTCACATGTGGATGGTTGTTTCCTGCCATCTGCTGGAGAATTATATGAAACACAGTCCTCTCACAAAACATCAGCTTTTTTTTAGAAATACTGCGGTCAAATAAAAATACTGATAAACCAATAAATAGATAAATAACCACAAATGATAAATAATGAATACAAGAGAAACAAAACCAAATAAATAAAACTCTCTAATAAGAAATAGCCTACAACTAAACACATGAATAGAGTAATCAATACAACAAAATCAATACAACTCCCAGAATTACTAAATGATTATTGTTTATACCAGTTATTTTTGTAAAAAGAAAGCAGTAAAGTTGGCAGATAGTTTCATTAATGATCAATTGACAAACTAACTTAATGTTTTTATTTTTCATCCACCTGTCAAGCGGTCACTTCCTGTATGTGCTATGAAGCTTTAAGTTTAAACAAGCCCAAACAGGTTCACAATAGACATTGGCAGTGGTCAATGTAGGAGGAGCTGAAACTAAATATTAACAAATAAATAGCCTAAATAAGGAACATAATTCATAACTTTGGACACAACATTGGAGATGAAACTACCAGGAGGCAGAACCAGCCCAATTTCAAAGGCACCTTTGGCTAGCTTGATCGATTGATAGTCTGAGCTTCCAGCAGTCGTAAAGTAAAGTCAAACTTTTATGTGTTTGCAGTCTTGTTGTGTGCATGACTACTGAGTTAACCTTTCCAACCAAACACTGCCTGTATGCTGCCCTGGTGTCTGGTACAGTTCAACTCCTGTCCATCAGGCTGCATGTAGTTCTGATGCAAAGTTCTCACAGCCATTGCTTCTAGAACATGATGTCATGTTGTTATGATTCCATACCCTGTTCCAAACTGACAAAATGTTCACTTCATTTCACTACAAAACTAGATTATGCTTCGGAGAGAATTCAGTAACTCAACATACTGCGGTAGTCACAACGTTCATGATGAATAAAAGGTTCATGGAGAGCCGTGGTTACACATTCAGGAGCAGCCTGGGAGAAGGCATGTTTGGCAAAGTTGCGAGTGCCTACTCAACCCGCCTGAGGAAAAAGGTTGCCATAAAGGTTATAGACACAAAAAAGGTGCCTTCCAGTTAGGTGGAAACGTTTCTGTGTCGGGAAATGGAGATCATCAGGACTTTGAACCATCCCAACATTGTCAAGACTCTTGAAATCTTCAAATGGCACACAAACAAGGTAATATATATATATATATATATATATATATATTTCTTTACTTATAATAGTTGTGTGAGAGTAAAATGTTAAACTTAAATATAAATGACTTGTTAAGGCTGCTTTTAGTCTGACCCAAAATTGAATGTACCGTACCATCTTGAGTTTTTTTTGTTTTTATACATCCCTAGACGATGTTTAGATATGATAGATATATGTCTTAGACTTTACTTGCAGTCAGAAAATACTGATCATACGTGTCTTACAGTATCATACAATTGCTAAGAACCTCATACAGTCCTGTTGCTTTACCATTTCAGAAACTTTCAGAATTTATGATCTGCTATGCTGCTTTAGAGCAGTTCTCTGGCTAAAGTTATGGCAATTATAATATGCTGTGTAACCCATAACTCTGACGCTTTGGCATGGAGGTATTAAGCATAATGAATGCTAAACGTATAATACAATATGTTCACCACTTCTAAAACTTAAAAGATCGTGTTCTAAGTTGCCATACATGATTTTAACATGGATACGTTGTATAAAGCCTTAAAAATATATTACAATATCTTATGAATATGTTTATAACATATTATAGACATGGTCTTCATATAAAGGGTTACCAAATATCTTAATTTGAAGGCAAACCAATATTACCACCAATATTATATGTAAAGAGTTTGGTTCATTTCAAAACACATTTAGTTGCCTTAGGTTCAAGATGATATAACTGTTCATATGATATTGGCTGTGTGTGCTTTTTGGAATTATGCTAAGGTGTTAATAAGGGAATATAACATATGATAGCCCTTCCACAGGAGCAGGACATTCTGTTAAATTACTTATATTGACCCTAAAAACTATTTAGTTTATGTTCCCCATTAATGTGATATCTGGTTTGGCCCAAGGACTATTTATATTGTAACATGTTCAAATCATTCACAAAAACAAGTCAGTTATTAAATACAAAGAGACAAAAAGTAATTATCAAGTTAACATTCAAGCGGTTATTGGAATTGATTCAGCGGAGCGATTGGTTCACCATCATTGACTTAAAGGTGCATATTTAAAGGTTGAGGTTGCTTCGAAACACAGAATATACTTGCGTTTCACCTTTCATGCCCTGGCCGTGCACGGCCAGCTGTGGTGGGGACATGGCGCTTGAGCTGCTGCATGTTTGAGCTGCTCCATCAAATTCGTCCCCTGTTAGAGAGTGAGGCGCTAGCATTTGTCAGACATTGTGGTAGGCTCAGATCGCTGCTCGGCATAGGAAGAAATTAATCGGATGACCCCAGGCCTGGGCTCTGTCCAATGAAGTGGGTGCAATAGGCGCACTACCCAGTACGGGCCATCGGCTTGGTGTATGCCGTTTTTCCTGCCACGATTTCAGCAACAGACTGGTCTTTGGTGACCCTCTCTTGAAGCGGTTCATGCATGGGGTCGGGACACAGTGCCCGGTAATGCATGCCTCCTTCCTGCAGTGACCCTGCAGTGCCACTGGGGCATATAGCTTTGGTTTAGAGTCCCTTTGAGCCTCTGGAGTGCTCTTCTCTGAAGGCTGTTCAAGACAGCATTGCTATACTCGCACTGACTTCACAACCACACAACTAGGTGGAGATGTAATATTTTTCCTTTGTAAAATGCTAAGTTGATGTAGTAATTATGATATACGATTTGTAAATGTGTGGGTGCAGATAAAGATACAGATTAATAGACACAAATCACTGCATTCATTTGTGAATTATGTTTTAAGAATAACGTAACTTGACATTTGTTTGTGGAGACTGTTCAGTCAATTTGGCTTTTTCAATCAACACCATCAATTTGGAGGATTTGTTGGGTATTTGTATGGTTTGGTATGATTTGTATGCAATGGTAGAATAAGAGGGAGTCCAGTAGATGGCTGCTGTTGCTTATACAATAATCTACAGCCATGCTAGCAGCTCTGTGAGGCTGTGCTTGGCACAGCAATGCTTTGAGCTAAATGCTAACATTAATGTCAACCTGCCAGTCGAGAGAGGAAGTCAGTACATCACCAAAATCCGTAGTATTCATCCTCTGGAAACCATGAATGTCTCTACAAAATGTCATGGCAATCCAACTGATAGTTTCAGTCTGAACCAAAGTAGAGGTCAAACCAAGAGACATTGCCATCTCTAGGGCCACTCGACAAGGATGGCTAAAACTGCTACAGTTTGTGTTGTTGGGTCCAATTCTATTTTTCTTTTTTACATCCATTGGACATTTCAATTTTACCATGTACTGTGGGTCAGAAGTCAAGCGGGTTGTCTTTCATGGACTTAACCCCAAAGGTTAGCAGGTGACACTAGGCAAACTAGAAAGGTGCTTCAGTAGACTCGACTACTGTAACGGTGTGTTTACAGGTCCCTGTAAAAGGTCAGTCAGAACGCTGCAGCTCGAGTCCTCACTAAGATCAAGAACGTGGATCACATCACTCCAGTTCTGAGATCTTTGCACTGGCTTCCTGTCCAACAAAGAATTGACTTTAAAATCCTGCTGTTGGTTTATAAAGCACTGAATGGTTTAGGGCCAAAACACATCTCTGATCTGCTGCTACCTTATGAACCATCCCGACCACTTAGGTCGTCTGGGACCGGTCTACTTTCTGTTCCTTGAGTCAGAACTAAACATGGAGAAGCAGCGATCAGTTTTTCTGCTCCACATATCTGGAACAAAGTCCCAGAAAGCTGCAGGTCTGCTGAGACCCTCAGCTCCTTTAAATCAAGATTGAAGACTTTTCTGTTTGCTGCTGCCTTTAATTGAACCAGATTCAAGGATATGAATCAATTTCTGCATTTTAGCATTTTACTGCTGTATTTTATTTCTTACACTGCTTTTTAGTGTTTTAATGACTGTTTTTAATGTTTCTTAATTGTTTTTAAATCTCCTTTTTTGCCTTGTGTTTTGATGCTTTTAATAGTTGTATGTGTTGTTGAAATGTGCTATACAAATAAACTTGCCTTACAATTACAAGTCCACTTACCATTCACCATCTACTTTTGTGTCTCTAGGTCTATGTGGTGATGGAGTTCTGTGTGAAAGGAGACCTCATGAAGCATATCAGAGTCAAGGGGGCCTTAACTGAAAATTCAGGCTGTAGGCTTTTCACACAGCTGTGCAATGCACTCCAATATCTTCACAACAGTGACGTGGCCCACAGAGACCTTAAATGTGAAAACATGCTGCTGGACACACATTTTAACCTCAAACTGTGTGACTTTGGGTTCAGCAAGAGGCTCACTTACGCAGACGGGCGGATGATGCTGAGCAAAACCTTCTGTGGCACCTCGTCCTATGCAGCACCTGAGATTGTGAGAAGTTTACCATACAACCCCAAAGTGTCTGATGTGTGGAGTTTGGGTGTTGTGCTGTATATGATGCTCCATGCTTCAAAGCCCTTTGATGCCACCAACATAAGGAGGATGTTGAGAATGCAAATTCAGCGTGATATCAAATTCCCCAACATTCCTTCTGTTTCGTCTGACGCAAAAGACCTCATCCAAAGGATTTTGCACCCTATTGTGGAGCACCGGATTACAATCACCGACATATTGCAGAGTTCCTGGATGTTGCGGGAAGGGAAAATAGAGGACAGTGAGGAGGCCCTCACATCAAACGCCGGCTCTGGAAAGAAAGGACCCCCAGATGAAAAGGCCAAAGAGGAAGAGAAACTTCCAAAAGCCAATTCAGAACCAGGGGAGGAACCATCATCTGCTGTCCCAAGACACTGACATTAGAGGCTAACAAAACTTAAATAAATACATTCATTAACACCGTTTTTGTGTTTTTGAAGCAACCAGTAGCAAAGTGTTTGAGTTTCCTCAATTGCATGTGTGACGATCCTCAAACTTAACAGCTTAAGGTTTGAATTCATGAAAATGCTCAGTTGTGTGTGTTTATGGACATGGGTATGGACCGGGTTATGAGGCTTATCCCTGTTTTGACCATATTCTGGATTTAATGTTTATATGGAGCATTTATTCATGGACAAACTAAAATCTACACTGCACATTAACTGTCACCTGACAACAAAATGACTGCCAATTTCTTCTCTGATCCGATCGACACCATCTGTCAGCTCTGTGCATCCACTGCCACTCGCTCGCTACATATACATCAGGTGAGCTATACCTGAAAGGAGCTATGCTACTCTCAAAAGTCATCTGAGGCAAATTTGTGATTTTGGACTATACAAAATAAATTGAATTGAATTAAAACAATGTCCTCCACTTTGAATGGACTGTGACTTTTTAAACATATTATTCCATTACTTTTTTAACCTTTTAACATACTATGCTCTGCCATATTTACCATACTATACTATGTCACTTCATGACTTCTTTTACATTTTACCCACACATATACTCACCTGCTTTCTCTGTTCTGGTTGGCAGATCGTTTTTGTTCTTCATGTTCTGGCTTTGTTCCTCCCCATGTGCTCATCGTGTCTCCAGAGTTTTCCCTCGTGTTGTCTCTAAGGTTTGTGACTTTGCTTTTTCCCATTTTTGTATTTTTGCTCGCTCCCTGTTGGAGTCGTTTTGAGTTCCTGTGTATGTTTGGGTCAAAGTAAAGAACCTTGTCTTCCTCCTTGGCTCCTGTGTCCGTGTCTGCGCCTCTGATCTGCCCCTTGGACGTGACAGAAATGGCTGATTTTTCAAGTCTCTCGGCAAACTTGCCAGAAAAATCTCCAAAAATGGGATGAATACCTCCAAGCAGCAATGTTTGGAATTGGAACAGAAAAGCAGTTAACTACCCAGCACAGTCGATACTATTTAATGTTTGGAAGAGAGGCAAGATACCCATCGGAGGTGCAATGGAGTATGAGGTAAGTGGCTCCATTTATTTTGGTGTGAAGGGGTTAGGGTTGCGATTGCTTGGATAAATGACTTGGAATATAATTATTATTGTGTTTTTACTTCAGGTGACAGACAAAGTGGAGAGTTTAGTTTTGAGGGAGGAAATCTTCAAAGGAAACGCAAGCGAAACGCAATGGATCCCTGGTCACATTTTGTGTACTTAGGACTTTATTGCGCGTTTGTTTACAAACTACTCAAGCTTCTTGATATTTTTAAATAAAAATGAATAAAATGTTTTACGCGTTACATGTTGTCCCTAGTAACATAAGCACAGTCACAAACCACATTGCACATTAGGCCATGCTATTGTTCCCCAGCTTAAGGGCTACTTGGGGAGGGAAAGGCTGGCAAATCCATTCTTCAAAATCCATTCTCAAAGGTTCCATTGCAATGTTGTGCTGTGCAGACGATTTCCATTGTGATCTTCCCCGACCTTCCCGAGCGTCCAATCGCGGAGCTGGCTTTCCATTGTGCGTCCAATCGCGAGGCTCGCTTTCCATTGTGAAGAGAGAATGGTTTGAAGCCGGGGGAGCTGGATGGACCAATCACGTCTGCACCTCCAGTCACGTTCTCGCAAGACCTCAAGTCCAAGTCTCGCAGCCACGTCCAGATCGCGAAGCAGAAAGATATCGGACCTGTTGACTACAACATATACTACAACTTTTCAAAAGTAAGTTATCCAAAAAAACCTTATATTTACGTCACACACAAGGTCATTTTTATCTTTTTTCTCGTCCATAAATGCGCGCTCGGCATTAGCGAGCGAGCGAGCTACCGCTAGCGATCGCTAGCTAGCGACAACGTAACTACATGTAATAACTGGTGTTGTCTTTTTTTCTCTCGTTCTGTCCGATATCACATTACGTTACACGGTAAATACGGTCGGCTCTTACACGGTAAATACGGTCGGCTCGGCGTCCGGTGTCACATTACGTTACACGGTAAATACGGTCGGCTCGGCGTCCGGTGTCACATTACGTTACACGGTAAATACGTTCGGCATTAGCGAACGAGCTAACGTTAACGGCCATGTATGAATACTACTGTAATGCGTCCAGTGGAAACACGCAAACGTTATTGTTGATATTGAAAGATTAATACATACAGATGTATTATAGATATAGTGTAATTACACAGTATACATGTAAATAATGCGTTTACATATATATGTATTGATTTGATTACATGTATTAATACGATGTATAAATAACTGAAAACATGTCTCGCAAAACTTCAGTCTAAGAGTTGCTGTGTTACTGTACTAAGTATGCACATCAATGTCATGGTTATGTAGATTTAGCAATTGTTATTATTACCCTGTCTGGATATATAATATGTTAATTATTTATACTTAGTTACTGTGGATTTTGCACTTTGTACTTAGTTGATATTCTTACTGTTTATTACTTATTTACTTATGTATATTACTTGTTGCTCTTGATTTTTTGCTCTGTATCTTGTGTGCACTATCCACTTTGCTGCTGTGATCCTGTGAATCTTCCCACTGCGAGACTAATAAAGGATTATCTTATCTTGTCTTATTTCCACGTTATCTTTAGATGAGCACAAAACCAAAGAGCCACAAGTCCATGACCGATGGAGAGTGGCTAGCAAGGCTGAGGGCATTTGCCAGCTCTGGTGTTTGGCCTGCTGGAGGAGGCAATAGGCCAGCCCCAAGGCAAAGGAAGTGGCATGACATCTATCAGAAGGTAAAGTATAGCAAACTACGTAGTTATTACTCATTACTGTCACTAGTATGCCACGCACTTGATTAAAATGATGCAATATGATGGTGCAGATAATGTTAATCAGACGTAGTACACTGACTGACTCACTCCAGGATAAATAGCAATTCTTATCATTTCAGATTGACAAATGCCCCATGCAGGCCCGTGGACAGACCACCCTCTTCGGAGGGTCCATCGCCTGCAAATGCGGATTCCACACCATTATCGTGATCTATTTACAAATGACATCTTTTATTGTTTATCTTGCATCGCATGTTTGTTACAATGTTGTTATGCTGTTGCTGTTACATCACATGTCGTAATGCTGTTGTTTTAGTCTCCTGCTGATGTCCCACAGTCTGTGGCCTCAGCCTCAGCCCCTCCTCGTGCTACCCCACAGTCTGTGGCCTCAGCCCCTCCTCGTGCTACCCCACAGTCTGTAGCCTCAACCCCTCCTCATGCTACCCCACAGTCCGTGGCCTCAACCCCTCCTCGTGCTACCCCACAGTCCGTGGCCTCAGCGCCTGGTGCGAGTGCTGCATCCCCTCGGTCTTTTCTGCGACCCACTCTGAATTTGTCAATGGTGAATTATTTTTTGTAATTCATACTTTGTATGACTTATTTTGTGTGTTGCATCTTCAAATTAACTTTGGTTCTCCTTTCAGTTTGCTAAATCACGCTTTGGTGGGTCACAGTCTGCCTCACTAAAGCCCAATTTAGTGGCTAGGTCCCCCAGCCCTTCTCCTCCTCCTTCTCCATCGTCTGTGAGGACACCCAGCCCTGCTCCTCCTCCTTCTCCATCCTTTGTGAGGACACCCAGCCCTGCTCCATCCCCAGTGAGGACCCTCTTTACGGCCCCCAGCCTTGCTCCTCCTCCTCCTCCATCCTTTGTGAGGACACCCAGCCCTGCTCCATCCCCAGTGAGGACCCTCTTTACGGCCCCCAGCCTTGCTCCTCCTCCTCCTCCATCGTCTGCGAGGACACCCAGCCCTGCTCCATCCCCAGTGAGGACCCTCTTTACGGCCCCCAGCCTTGCTCCTCCTCCTCCTTCTCCATCGTATGTGAGGACACCCAGCCCTGCTCCATCGTCAGTGAGGACCCCTACATCCTCTGTGAGGACCCCAAGCCCTGCTGCTGGTGGAAACACCAACATTGCTGTAGACGCTGTGAGTACTGCGTTTATTTATTGGTCTGGCTTTTTTATAAGTCATATTTAGTGTAGCTTTTATTTATGCAATACACTTCATTCTTATTTGTTGTTGTCTTCCAAACAGAATGTGCCTGGAGGAGTTCAGCCAACTGCTGCTGGGGCTGCATCTTCTTTCTGGTTGCCGGGTGAAATGAGCAAGACCCTCCCTTTGCAGGACCAGAGGTGGATTGCCAACACCGTCTTTCCCTCCAGCAAACTACGGCCAGATTTGAAACTGTGGTACGAGCCCCCTGTTCCAGCCCTGATCTACCATCAGACACCGACACCCGACCGCTTTTTCACCCATCGGCTGATGGTGTGGATGCCCTACCGCCTGTGGAAAGTGAGGGTGTTCTGCCTAGATTGTGGGAAGCAGCTGACAGGCTATGGTGTCCACAAGCGGTCTAGGAAAGTCCTGGACATCGACAGATATTACCTGATGGTGACAGAGACACTCAGATGCACTGTGTGTTCCTCAAACTACCTGTCCACAAGTCAGACTGTCCGGGACCAGCTGGACCTGCCTCACCAAAAGTTGTTCCGGATGATCTTGACCCGCAAGTGAGTAATACAGTTTTGACACGGCCTCCCATGAACATGTAACAAATCACTTTTTAAATAATTTCTCAAATCTATTCGTAATTGCTTGAATACAAGTGCATTATTTGAATAATCTGGTGCCATATATTTACTATACACTGTCCCTGTTTTAAATATACAAAAAAGTAAATGGAATGTTCATTTCAGATACGCTTGTGACATCCGTGTCATTCGGCTGCTTCGGGACCGGACTCTCGGCAACAGTCCAGCACGGCTGGTAAAGCAGCTCAGGGAGAACCATGGGGAGGAATGGCTGAACCAGGTGGCATACTATGCTAGCGAGTGTGGTGACTTTGCGGAGCAGCCCAGCCTCCTACCAGTGGTCTGGCAGAAGCCGCCACAGCACATAGAAGTTCCAA